CTTCTTGGAGACGAAATGAGTACGGACGTGGGCGATGATTCATAGAAAATTTCTCTGAGATGTAGAAGAATTGTATATATGTATGTATGTATCTATTGCTACCTACCTATCTTCCTACCTGCTTTACTCTCCGTGTTTCATCTATCTCATTTTTTTAAATTTATTTTCTAATTATAAAAGATGTAACCAAATTTAACGATCATTTTATCAAATTATTTGGAATATATATGTTAATCGTATATTTATATGTAATATTATTATCAATATTATTTTATTTAATAAGACGATTAGAGAATGAGAATTAATTTGTTGAAGTTACCGAAAGTTGTTGCAGAAAGTGGGTGGGTTAGGGGGAGGGGTTATTTTAAGTATAGTAAACCACACGTCTAACTGTTTTTGTTTGATAGATACACAAGTGTTCATCGTAACATTTCTCGACGTATTAAAAAAAAAGCGTTGGCTGTGTATACCTGAACGAAGTCGATACATCATCGTAATATATATGTATAGGTGTGTTGCACGCACCACAGGTATTATCGAAAAGAATAAAGTAAGAAAGAATGAGAAAGAGATAGATGAGTTGAGGGATCGTATGTGGTATTAATGTATATTTGTGTTACTAATAGAAGTTTAAGTCAACGACAACGAGTGGTCCGTGTATTATTCGTAAATGAATTATTACACCTTCCCAAGGATTCCGTATGATAGTTTTTTTTTTTTACGTAATCGTGTTACCTCGTTTTACATCTTACTTATTATAGTTTGTTGTTTTTTTTTTGTGGTTTTTGTTATTATTATTAAAACTAACCTAAAGTTTTCACTTGATAAATAATTACGTTTCTATTTTAATCTTACCATTGCATGAATTTTTTCGGTTTTTAAATGTATAATATGACAAAAATATACTCGTCATTTTTCTGCATCCCCATGATGATAGTTTGTGTTGCCCATTTATTGATATAATATATATATGTATATGTTTTATTTATATATGTATACGTTTCTATTTTAATCTTACTATTGGATGAATTTTTTCGGTTTTTAAATGTATAATAAAACAAAAATATACTCGTCATTTTTCTGCATCCCCATGATGATATTTTGTGTTGCCCATTTATTGATATAATATATATATATGTATATGTTTTATTTATATATGTATACGTTTCTATTTTAATCTTA